TTACTTTAATTTTTTTATATTTATTTCTAATCATATATTTACACAATAAAATATTTTACTCGTAAACTCAAAATTTTTTATACATTTTAACAACACATTTTTCCAAAAAATTGTTCAAAACATGGTTTTTTTTTTCCATGCTTTCTAAATTATATTAATATGCTCTTTAAAAATAGAATCTCTTAAAAATGTTCTACGGTTACAAGTTTTTGCTAATTTTTTCTTTATTTCAAATATTCAGATTAATAAGGATTTTTTTTTCCCAAAAAAAACTGCCAATCGACGGAAACAATGATCTCAAGATTCTATCAATCCGTTAAAACCTTTTTTTTTTTAAATGCGCGGCGTTGACAACTCTAATTTTATTCATAGGGGCACGAATGAGGATTACAATTTCTCCTCTTATTTTCTTTCAAAAGTAGAAATCAATTATTTCTAAAGATAACACTACCTGTACATAATTTTTTGTACATCGAGGTATCATTCGAGTAGGTCTCACCCTATATGAGTGCGAAATATCTTGATGTACTAAAAATTACGTACACTAAACAAAGCCATTATTTCTAATTTCAGTATCGAATTATTTTTCGAAATCGAAATTATAGAGTTTATAAAATATGTTAACATCCTCCAATATTCGAGGCAGTGATGACGAGGATTCTACTTTTCATGTGATGCCAAGCAAATTGTGTGGCAGGCTCAGTCGTACTTAAGAAGTGGGATGAAGACCTTAATTGGCTAATGGCAATAATATATTAATAAATTGGGGCCAGATTTTATATAATAATGAATTCAATAATGGTGGCATGTTCACTTGTACTCATGTAACGACGACCACTTGTGGGCCCCACCCCAACTTGCATATTTCTGTAACTAACTTACACAAAATTATAAACTATGGTGTGAGTGTCACCACGCTAAAATAAAATATAGAGTCGTGGAAAGTATTGAATACATTTATATGAAAAGGACGTTACAAATATCTCAAAATAAGTTATATTTATTGAGTGAAAAATTCGTATGTTTCCAAAATTCATACCGATCGATCGATTGAATCGTTCACCTTTTGATGTAAAAAAGTTTATAGACAAGGTTAACCATTTGGTTAATGTATCTAGTGATAGCAATGGGTAGTGTTTCGCGCGGGTTAGTAGCTAACAATTAAAAAGGATCAGATGATTGTGTAAGGGACAAACCACTTGAGACAAAGTCCCAAAAAGGGGTGTTCTTTTATTGGCGATGACTTTACAATTGGAAATTAAAAACAACGTGCCTCCAAGGGGCGCAAGCACACGAGTTACTGAAAGAAAAGTGTTTAAGTCTAAACTAAGGAAATGAAAATTACATATTCTCTGTTCGAGAGTTTTGGATTCGGTCCTCTGCTTCTATGTCCTTTCTCCCTTTTATACTTCATGGACGATCTCTTTGTAATCAACTGCCCTTAAAAACTGCTTGATCGTCCTATAACTGCCCACTTTCTTCGTAATGGCCAACTTGTCATGAAAACTGCCTTTTTTTTAACTGCTGCCATTACTCTTCATCGTTCAACCGCTTTCGATTGAATTCCTTGAATCGTGGAACGTGATGGGGCTGCTTTGATAACTGCACCACAACGCTTTATGATTGTTAAAACCTTGGGCGACCTGAAGGCTTGAGCGAGAATAGGGTAACAGCTCTGGACGACTGCATGGCACTCCATTCGCTCAGATTCTGGGCGACTTGCAAACTTGGGCGATGGCGTTACTGCGTTTTTGGGCCTCCTTATTTGGGCCTTCATCTTGAATTGTCTGATTGGGCTTCGTTCTTTGGGCTATCTGATTTGGGGATTCTTCAATTGGGTTTCATTCCTTAAGCTGTTCGATTTGGGCTGAATTTTTATGTGTCAACAATTACCCCCCAATATGGCAGAATTAATAAACTATTAAGTTTTGCCATATTCACTTTGTGTTTCCAGCAACTTTCGAGAGTCCCGAGAATTTCAATCATTATTTCCTTCCATAACTTTGAAAAGGTGCGTCGTCTTGCAAACCCTTATAACCCCCAAACACGCCATTTCACTGCACCATTAAATCACGCCTCAA